CCCGCACGCGGGCCCTTCCGGTCCGACCTCCCTCCCGCACGCGGGCCGGGCGCGCTGCCGCGCCGCGGCCTTTCCTGGCCTTCTCGGCGGTGGTCGGAGGCCCCTGGACGGAAACGCCGGCGCCGCAGCGCCTTGGTGATGGCGGCCCCAGCGCTGCGGTCCGGGCGCCGGACACACACCTGCGGACGGCGGCCCGGCGCCCACGGGCGGCCCTAAGGATCGCAGCGCCGGGGCCGCACCCCGACCGCCCGGCTGCCGCGCGGCTCCCAGTCCCGGTTTTGTCTGTTCTGGGCTGTGTCTATTCGGCTTATCTCCTCTGTGACCGGTCAGATGACTCCAGGGGCGTTTAACTGATTGCAAACCATAACGACATTTCAACTCAATTCATTTTACAAAATCAGAATAAAAAAACTACGTAAAATAGCCACGGAAGGAAACTATTTGGCTCCCACACTCATGTCATTGTTTAAAATTATAAGACGGACCAGGCGCGCTGGCGCGCACCTGTCATCTCCGGGGGGCTGAGGCGGGACGATCGCCTGAGGTCAGGAGTTTGAGACCACCCTGGCCAACACGGTGAAACCCCGTCTCTACTAAAAACGCAGAAATTTAGCCGGGCGTGCTGGCGCGCCTGTAGCCCCGGCTACTCAGGAGGCTGAGGCAGGAGAATGGCCTGAACCTGGGAGGCGGAGGTGGTGGTGAGCCGAGATCTCCCCGTTGCACTGCGGCCTGGGCACCAAGAGTGAAATTTCCATGTCAAAAACAGTTCGATAAATAAGATTATAAGACGATAAAACATTCAGCTCTGTAATATACATTGGTCTTTTTTTTTTGGAGTTTCGCTCTTGCCGCCCAGGCTGTAGTGCAGGTGTGACCTCAGCTCCCGGGTACAAACGATTCTCCTGAGTCAGCCTCCCAAGTAGCTGGATTACAGGCATGCAACACCAGGCCCAGCTAATTTTGTATTTTTAGTAGAGATGGGGTTTCACCACGTTAGCCAGGCTGGTCTCGAACTCCTGACCTCAGGTGATCCTCCTGCCTCGGCCTCCCAAAGTGCTGTGATTACAGGCATGAGCCACTGTGCCCAGCCCATTGGTCTCTTACTATTGACAAAATAAATACAAAACAATTCACAAATAAACCCAATAGAAAACTGTACAGCATATAGAAGTCACCAAAGGCCAAGTCCAGAAGGGGAACAAACATTTAGAAAGAGGGCCAGCACCATGGACAGTAGGAGAAAGGAAAATTGTAGTGCCAATGAAATATTATTCTATACTCATCAAATTGGCCTCAAACTGGAAAAATTCAAAAGGAGCCACCACACAGCTCTGGATGAGGGCGAAGTTCTGTCTATACTGTGGATGGCACGTGGGGTTGCACAGAACTCTGAATGGTACCACACCCTCACCCTCAGCTTCTGCTCCCAGGAATCTGCCTCACAGAGAAAAGCACTAATGAGGAAGGACGGCCATTCACAAAGACCTGGGGCAGTATTTTCCATAGTGAGATAAAAGCACTAGAAATGAACGGCCATCAGCAGACAAGCAACTGAATAACTCCAGTGACCATGTCAGCAACACCAAGCAGCCCTGGACAAGAGGGGGCTAGAATCAGACACACTGATTAGGAGCAGATTAGAAAAGGTATTGGTGAGACAAGTTTGTATGAAATCATTTTTGTGTGGATGCATGAGTGTGACTGTGAGTGTGTGTGTATCTGAGATGAGCATGGAGAAATAGGGAAGGGTACATTCCAATAGTTAACAGGGGATCCCTAGTGCTGGGTGAGGACAGAAAAGGTCCAGTCTAAGTGTGTATGAGTGTGTGGCTGTGTGTGTAGGTGTGAGTGTGTGTGTAACTTCCTGTTTTATTAAAGAGTTCTGTCTCAGACAGGTAACAATATAATGGAAAACATCTTATAAATCTGGTCCACTCACAGACTGCTGTACAGCAAGGAAGTCCAGGTTGGATCTGACTGTGTCTCAAAATGAAGCAATGCTCAGGCACTTCTGGAACCAGAGTCTGGTACCAGAGAGGAAGGGAGCTGACACAGCTCTGCTGGATAAATTAACCAGAATGTTCCTTGTACTGTTTGAGAGCTAGCGGGTGAAGCTAGCACCTCAGAGGCAGCAGGTCCAGAAAGTGAAAAACAGGGGCTGAGGAGAGAGGTAGCCCTATAGAGTTCTCCAGCCTTGGGATATGGCTAAGGGCCCCATGTCCACATGACGGTCACAGAGCTAGGAGCAGCAAACTGTCTGAAAGGAGCCAGCAGGCGATTGGGTAAGAAGGGGCCTCCAGCAGCGACTGGGTGGCAAGGAAGCAGAGCACGCACTCCATGTCCAGCTCAAGGCTGGCAGAGCTGAGGGACACCCTGAGACTCACCAACAGCACATAGATCTGCAAACCGGTCCTCCCCCTCCTCTGCGTGGATCAGGTCATTTCTGCTCTTCTTGGTGGCTGCTCTCTTCAGCACTGCTTTAAACAAATGGTGGGAGAAACCACCTGAGCTGCAGCCCTTGGGCCGCCTCAGTGGGGCATGGGATCACCCTCCCCCTGGGACCAGCAACCTCTCCTTAGCTCCTGTTCTGGAACTGGGGCTAAAGCTGAGGCTGGACGATTCCAGGACCCCTTGGGTCCCTCTGAGTCCTCAGAGCTGAAGGGACAAAAAAATTTAAGGGTGAGGGGGCCCCTGCTTTCCCTTCCTTCCAAAACGAGGCCAGTGGGGAGGCCTGGCCACAAGGGAGACCAGGAAAAGTCCACCCAGGGCAAGACCGGGACTACAAGGGAGACACCGCAGACCTGCTCAAAGCCACAGGCATGGGGACCGCTGAGATCACTGCAGGTGTGGCCATGCTATCTGGCTGTGATCTGAGTGATGGGTGTGCAGAGAGGGTAGCCTTTGGCTGCTGCAGCTATGCTGGCAACCAGTGCCAGCAACCCCAGCAATGGGGCCCGGGCTCCCTCTCGTGATCCCAGGTTGGGCCATGAGCCTTCCCATGGCCTCTGGGAGCAGCAGCGCCCCAAGCCCTGGGGACAGACACAGCTTGGTTTGAACCTGCAGTGTAGGCCTGTGTCAGGTGCCCAGGGTCAGACACCATGGTCAGAACGTCTGTGTTCATGTGATGGATGGCTGTGCGGGTGCCTGGCATTGCAGAGAGCATCTCACGTGAAACATGCAAGCGTGCACGCGTCACCCCAGACGTGGCCACCAGACCTCTCAGCCACACAGGAGTGTCAGCGAGTGCCACCTACCGTCCAAAGGGGACTTCTCCTCTGCGTTCCTGTCCTCCTCGGCCAGCATGACTTCCTCTGCGAGGGGAACATAGCCTGGTCAGAGCCCTCCTGTCCCCAGGAATGCCCGGGAACAGGGGCACGTCTCTGTCTGGAAGTCCCTGCCGTCTCAGCTTTTTTTTTCTTTTCGAGAAGGAGTCTCACTCTGTCACCCAGGCTGGAGTGTATCTCAGCTCACTGCAACCTCCACCTTCTGGATTCAAGCCATTCTCCTGCCTCAGCCTCCTGAATAGCTGGGATTATAGGTGCCAGCCACCACATCAGGCTAATGTTTGTATTTTTAGTAGAGGTGGGGTTTCACCATGTTGGCCAGGCTGGTCTTGAACTCCTGACCTCAGGTAATCTGCCCACCTTGGCCTCCCAAAGTGCTGGGATTACAGGCGTGAGCCACTGCACCTGACCACCTTCTCAGCTCTTACGCTTCCAGAAGCCAGCAAGGCCTACAGCTGAGCTTTTTCTCCTAGGAAAGATGGTGCCCTGTGAAGAAGACTCAGCCGCCTTGTGTCTGCCCATCCCTACCCACACATAGCCTCCCTGAGAACAGGTGCACCACAGGCGAGTTCATCCCTGACAAGGCACTTGGGAAACATCAGGAGGTGGAAGTGGGTGCCCCACGTGGAGGAAAGAGTGCGGGCCTGGGGCGAGGGGAGGGAGTCCAGGCTTGACAGAGCCCAGAGTCAGGGCACAGAAGGTACTTAGCTGAGACTAATGGGGAGAGATCAGCCTTAGGCTGGGCCGTTGCAGAGTCCTCCATTTAAAAGGCCACTGTCCTCAGGGCTATATGGCTGCCTGGGTGAACTAGAGAGAAACCCCTTCTCACTCTGCTCATTACAAAGTCCCTTCAGGTTCTACCCAACAGCCGGGGCACCCCAGCTGGCAGCAGAGCAGAACTGGGGAGAACCTACAGTGGCCAGCCAGGAGTACAGTGGCTCCCACGGGCCCTCACCCGCCTTGAAGATCCACTCCAGGTACCCGTTGAGCTCTCGCTCGATCTGCTGCTGCCGGCGCAGCTTCAGGAAGGCGCGGCGGTTCTCCACCCTCTCTCGCTCCTTGGCAAACTCCCTACCATGCAGAGGCCAGAAAAGCAAGATCAGGTGAGTGTAAGCCCTACATGTGTACAGCCCCAAAGACAAAGTGGATCAGGGAAAGGCTGGGACAGGAGTCGGGCTGCAGGCTGTGCTTCTGGCAGGCCCCTGTCACCCCAGCCTCTTCTAACCTGAGCACTCTGGAGCACCATGCAGCTCCCTGTGCACCCAGAGAGCCTCCACGAGCAGCCCAGGTGGCCCTCTGTCCTCAGACTCCTTTGGTACTCAGGGACAGTGCCTTGGTCCCCAGATGGGCATTTCTAGAGGGCAGGGATGATTTCACAGCCCCTGCTTACAGCAACGTAGGTTTGCACCTCCTCCCTCCCCACCCCGTGCCAGGCTCTGTGATCTGCTGTCTTCCAGAGAGCTCCTGACAAGAATTCTCCAGAGGAGAATATTCGCGTTGCTTCCTCTGTTGGTTCAGATGCAAAGCATCTGTGGGAAGGAGGAAAGACAGACAGGGACAGGGAAGAAGGGAATGGGTCAGGGCAGGCCAGAGGAGGAAGGAAAATACCACAGCGTCCACACCATGTAGCCTCCTCAGCCAAGCCTTTGAGGCTCACAATGAGCAGGAGAGAAGACCTTCTGTCATCAGCCCCCAACATCCTACCTCAGCCCCACTGAGCCTTCACAACCATCCATGGTGACCAGCAGAGAACATTCCCCCTTCCAGCCCAGCACCCCCACCCCAGCCCCAGCCTCCTGGCCAAGCTCTAAGGCTCACAGTGCCAGAAGCAAGCGCGCTCTCACTCTCACTCTCTCTCTCTCTCTCTCTCACACACACACACACACACACACATACACGCTTCTTGGTGGAGTGGGTGTGGCAGGCGTGACTCCCAGTACCCACAGCCCTGGTGCAACAGTCTCCGGCTCTGATCAGGACTGACTCCAGGTGCAGGTGCAGGGCTAGTGTCCGCTAGACACTGAGCTGCTACAGCCCAGGCAGTGCAAGGTGACCGTGCCTGCCCAGGTGCACCCTCCCATCTGGGCATCCCAAGTCCCAAATCTACATGAAAGCAGGGTGCACTACGGCCTTCCCACCCAGGCCAGCCCCTGTGGCCATGCCCTGAAAACAAGAGGACCTGCGGCACAGGGGAAGGGCAACGGCATCTTGCTTGAATGGATTTGAGAGCTACCAGCAGCAACCCCCCCAGCAGTACAGCCCTCAAAGAGCAACTGCTTCTCACACAGTGGCCAGCAGCAAGGCTGGCCTTCCCTGAGCTTGTCCTCGCTGGGTGAGAAAGGGCAGGACAGGGGCCACCTGTTCTGCTTCTCTGGGATGCTGTGAGGATGGGAGCTATGGGAATGGAGAGAGGCCAAACTGGCCCCAAGCTGGCCCCCCTGCAGCTCTTGCCCAGAAATGGCAGAGCCGTAGCTTTTCCCACAGAGTGCATTTTCGCAGCACAGCAGTCAAGGCGGCCTCTCACCACTGCCACCCTGGGGTGCAGGGCCTACATCATGGGTGCTGGCTCCTGGCTTGGGGGCCCTCTGCTGGGCCTGTGGGCCTGAGGGGGGACTCAGCTGGACTGACTGGGAGACTATCACATATGCCATTCTTCCCAGAAGCTGGAATGTTCACAGTGGGAAGGAGCGGGAAAGACCACACAGGCCCTGCCTTGGGCCTCCCCTCCAGCCCCACCAGGCTGTTCTGCACCTTCCTCAGAGGGAGGCACTGCAGGAAGCCCTGAGCAGGCTGCCTCCCAACTACACATAGACCACACCTCCACCTACCCAGACCACACCTCCCATCTACCAAGACCACACCTCCCCACTGCCCACAGACCACACCTCCCATCTACCAAGACCACACCTCCCATCTACCCACAGACCACACCTCCCATCTACCCAGACCACACCTCCCATCTACCCACAGACCACACCTCCCATCTACCCACAGACCACACCTCCCAACTACCCATAGACCACACCTCCAGCTACCCATAGACCACACCTCCAGCTACCCAGACCACACCTCCCATCTACCCAGACCACACCTCCCATCTACCCAGACCACACCTCCCCTCTACCCACAGACCACACCTCCATCTACCCAGACCACACCTCCCAACTACCCACAGACCACACCTCCCAACTACCCATAGACCACACCTCCAGCTACCCAGACCACACCTCCATCTACCCAGATCACACCTCCATCTACCCAGTCGACACCTCCCATCAAGACCACACCTCCCATCACAGGCCACACCTCCCATCTACCCAGACCACCACACCTCCCATCACTGACCACACCTCCTGTCTACCCAGTTGAGTGCAATGGCAGCTGCTCCCCATTGCAGAGACAAAGGAAAGGCTGGTCAAGGGCAGGCTAGGATGGTGGCACAAAGGAAGGGCTACCAGAACCCAGAACACCAGGAGCAACCACCACAGACAGCATCAATGGGCCAGCCCCCTCACCCCAAGTGTCACATGTGCCCTGTTGACCCCTCAGCTGAGAACACAGAGGGCACCTGCACATGCCCCACATGGTCTCTCACCCCGAGAGAACTCCCAGCACCAGGTTGAGCATGAAGAAGGAGCCGATGATGATGAGAGGGATGAAGTAGAGCCAGTTCCAGGTGTTGCCGGCCGCGTCGTTTGTCTGGAAGCAAGGAGAGGGAGATGAAGAAGGACAGAGAGAAGACACACACAGTCCCAGCCACAGAAGCGCCCTGCCCTCCATCAGGCCTCCTTCACAGAAGCAGACACGTGGTAGGGTCCAGGCAGTGGGGAGACCAGTCAGGGGAAAGTTCAGGCATGGGGCTGGAGTCCAGGCAGCACCCACAGACAGACGTGCCCTTGCCGGCAGAGCTCTCTCTAGACTGCGGCTCCCAGAGGACCAGAGACGCTTAGTGCTGCCAGGCACTGCCTGGAAACATTCAAAAGCCAAGCAGCAGGCCCAGTGAGCCAAGGTGGTGTGGATGCCCCAAGGTGGCACATTCACCCAACCTCTGCCAGGCACCTCCCTGGCTACCAGGCATCTCTGGGCAGCTCAAAAGCCATGTCCTCCTGAAAGGAGCCCATAGGCCCAAGTCCACATCAGACCTGTCTGCAGCAGCTCCCACAGCTGAGAGACAACAGTGGGCCCATCTGCATTTTCCATTTCACCACATGCCTGGCCTGAGACTGCACCCGGCATTCAGGCGTGATCTGAATAGCTGAACGCAAAGAGGGGCCATCTTTCCCAGATCTTTTGCTTTTTATAGCACGGCTCACAAAAGGGTGGGCTCCTCTGAACCCAATTTAATTCCATAGTTGTTTTGTTTTTATGCATTCCCAGGGGACTTAGCTAAGGGGGAGAGAACCTCTTTCTCTGTGCAAGTCTGGTGCTGGAGAGAAGCCAGGGTGGTGGAGGGTGTGGAGGGAGGCAGCTCACAAGACATGGGCGGGGCCCCACCAAGATAGAGGCAGGAGGACAGTCAGGGCATTGCCCTGCAGCAGGTGCTGATCTCCAGGTGCTGCTGTTGGCACTCTGCCCCCTAGTGTCTGCCAGCCTGGCAGATTTGCAGCCTCCACCGCTGCATGGACTGACACTCATGGTTCCTGACCCTCGGACACCGATTCCAGGCTGGCCCCTGAGATTCCTGGACCCGAACCCAGAATCAACATTCAGAATCCCAGCTCTAACTGCAGTTCACGTTCCCTGACCACACCTCTGTGCAGACCCACATGCAACTCAGAGCTGTGGACTGGGTGGCCACCAAAGCTACCAACTTTCTGCAACATACCCACAAACCTGCCGTCCCTTCTTGAGAAAAAGGAGAGATGTCACTGCTGCAGTCTCAGCCCCTCTCACCTGCTCAAGTACTTGGCTCCCGCAATTACCCTCTTCAACAGAGCATTCCCATCAGTAGCCAAGTGGCTCTAATTTCTCTTATCTTAAAAAACAGGACTTCCATGTCTGGGAAGATGGAGCAGACATACTCTGCCCTGTTACTCCCTTACTCCTACTATGTGCAATTAACATTCTGAAAATTAGTCATAAAGCAAACATACGATGAATCTGAAAGGTGGAGAAAACAGGGCAGACTAGCTAGGACCCCAGGATATAAGGTGCATTTCCTGGGTTTTCTTCTCGCCTCCTATATCCCACATTTGGATCTGAAGAAGCCTAAAACTTGGAAATGCCCAGGGGACACAGACAACAAAAAAAAGCACCAGCAAAAGCCAGCTCTCCCTAACCAAGGCAGCCTAGCAGGACAGGGGGCTCTCAGACAACGACATGACTCTCCACACACTACAGGCTCCACCTCCATCCCTCCCTTCCAGCAAAGTCCCAGAAGAGCACCTAGACTGCAATGAGAAAGCCAAGTAGGAGGTGGGACCTTCCTCCTCAGCAGTGGTTATCACGGCCTCCCAGCCCCAGCCCACCTCTGCGGTACCAGTGAAGACCACATGGGACACCTCGACTTCCATTTACACAGGCAGTAGGGGCACCCCCTGCTGCTAGGGAGCTATCAGAAGGGCTTTGTGGAGTCAGGACTTTCACCACCATCCAGCAGGCGTGAAGCCACCCACACACACAGTGTCCAGAAACCACGTGGAGAACAAGAACAAGGCACCTCTAAGCCTGCCAGCCAGGAAAGTTCCCTCTAGGCATGGTGGGTTGCCAGACCTGCCGTCCCTGCCCAGCAGTAAGGAGAACGCTCCACCATATGTCAACGGAGGCCGATCAGAGAACCTGGACTTCTGCCCTTACCTGCAAGACAGCAGCACTCCTTCCCTCACAGCTAACACAGAATGCTTAACCGAGATCCAAGGTCCTGAGCCCTAAGGCCAAAAATGGCCAGTTTTCAACCGAAACTCACTCATCATACTAAGAACCAGGAAAAGCATACATTTCTTAAATGCTATGACAGTTAATTTTGTGTCAACATAGCTGGGCCACAGGATACTCAGATGCTTGGTCAGGTACACTTGATAGTACCTTGCAGAAACTTCTGCAAGGGTGCTTTGAGATAAGATTATTGCTTTAATCAACAGAGTAAAGACCACTGCTCTCCGTAATGTGGGTGGGCCTCATTCAATCCACATTAAAAACCAACCCTCCCCTGGGTAAGGGAAGAGTCTCCAGCAGGTTCCTCTGGATTTCACCTCTGTGGGCCACTGGCATCAGGAACTGCACTATCAGCTCTCCCATGTGCAGATGGCACCCAAGCCCGCCAGTCAGAACCACAGACGTGGATGTGCCAGCCTCTGTGATCACACGAGCCAATTAATCATGATAAATCTCCCTCTCTACAAACACAGACACACACACCACACACACGCACCACACACAACACACATGCATATACCACACACACATGCACACCACACATACCAGACACACATACACCATACATACACACTGGACACATAAGTGCACATACCACACACACACACACCACACACACACACACACACTATGCACACTACACGCACACCATACGCACCAGACACACATACACAACACAACACACAAGAGCACACACCGCACACATGCATATACCACACATACCACATACATGCATACCACACACCACACACACACACACACACATACCCTGCACATCAGACACAGATACACCACACACACTGGACACACAAGCACACAAACTCCACGCACACACATGCACTGCACACACAGCATACGCACACCACCCCCATCCCCACACAGACCACACACACACACCACAAACACATGCACACCACACACACCAGACACATATACCACACATAACAGACAGATGCATACACGCACACATCCCACACGTCAGACACACATGCACCACACACATCAGACACACAGCACACACAAGCATACACATCCCAAGTGCACCACACGCACACACGACACACCACACACACACACCACAACACCACACACCAGACACATACCACATGCATGCCACACACACCAGACACACCACACACACACACACACACACCACATACACCAGACACACACCACACACACCAGAGTTAAATACACCAAATACACATGCTGGACACAAGTGCACACACCACACACACACAACACGCGTACCAGAAACAGGCACACACCACACAAACTACACACACCACACACACACTACACACCAGACGCATGCACACCACACACACCAGACACACCACATACACATGCATACATCACACACAGTACACACATCACACACACAGTACACACATCACACACACACACCAGGCACACCACACACACACCCCACATCTACCAGATACAGGCACACACCACACACACACCAGACACATGCCGTAAGTATGAGATACAGGCTCACACCACACACCCACATATACCACAGACACACCAAACACACACATGCACACCACACCTCTGTGCAGACCACACACACACACCACACACCACATACACAGCAAAAACACCAGACACCACACACAGCACACACACACTACACACACACCACATACACACCAAACACCTTTCTCCAAAAAAAATGTATTTGCTGTTTTGTTTTGTTTTTTTTCTATTCTGGGCATGTCCTTAACCTTAGCAAAATAAAATTCTAAATTGATTGAGAATTGTCTCTGATACTTTTTGGATTACAGAACCAAAGGAAAAACTTAGAGCTAAAAAATTAAAACAATCAAAAATCTCAATGAAAATGCATAACAAAAGAATGGAGGGGATGTGGAAGGAATCAGTGAACAGTAAGAGAAGAACAATAGAATTATCCATTCTTGAAAGAAAACTGAGCCTCAAAAACCCACGGGACTATAACAAAAGAACTAACATTCATGTCATCACAGTACCCAAGACAGGTGAAAAAGGACGAGGCTGAAAGTATTTGAAGAAATACAGCCGGCCGGGCGCGGTGGCTCATGCCTGTAATCACAGCACTTTGGGAGGCTGAGGCGGGCAGACCACAAGGTCAGGAGTTCAAGACCAGACTGGGCAACGTAGTGAAACCCCATCTCTAATAAAAAATACAAAAATTAGCTGGGAATTGTGGCTTGTGCCTGTAATCCCAGCTACTTGGGAGGCTGAGGTAGGAGAGCTGCTTGAACCAGGGCCCAGCAGAGGCTGAGGTTGCAGTGAGCTGAGATCATGCCACTGCACTCCAGCCTGGACTACAGAGCAAGAAGACTCCATCTCAAAAAAAAAAAAACCAGAAGCCGAGTGCAGTGGCTCACGCCTGTAATCCCAGCACTTTCAGAGTCTGTGGCGGGTGGATCATGAGGTCAAGAGATCGAGACCATCCTTGCCAACATGGTGAAACCGTCTCTACTAAAAATACAAAAAATTAG